GATAACTGAATGGCAGAGATTTAGAAGCGGAGTAGGAACAGGGTCAAGACGACAAGATTGGATTTCAAAATTAACTCAGAGACAGAAGATGATAATGTTTAATGTTCAATGTAATATTGTGCTAAAGACTGAAGCTTTTGCTTTGGGTGGGACTTACCCGTCCCATGTAAATAAAGATAAGAAATTCTTCCCTTATGAGGATGAGTCAGATCATTGGCAGAGGTTTTTACACCAATGAGGATATATTTATAAATAAAGACATTGATTTTACCTGATAAAATACTTAAAAAACGACACAGTACACCCCTAAGGAGCAAACTTAACATTTAGCTTGCTAATATGTGCTATTTATTGCTAACAGTTTGTTAGCTAACTAGTACTATCATACAACTCTGTGATGTGACAGAAAATGTGTATGAGTTTGATTTAATCAGGGAACCATATACAATCACTGAGACAAATTCATTTGGTCAATTCAAAACATTTCAATTTGATGATATTGAGGTTATGTTTGTGCTTTACTTAATGTAATGGATACAAACTTCATGCTATATCCATGTTTAAATGGCCACTGGGAACGATACACAGGAAGAATAGGTCAGCATAATTAGTCAACTCATAATTCTGACATCATTTGAGTTGTCAAGAATGTTCCTCATAATGCCCAATTTCTGAAAAAAAGGCATAACGTAGAAAACATCTAACCCATGACCACACTTGATGCAATTTATTTGTTATCATTTAAGACATAAACATGCAATTATTTTTAAATGAATAAACACCTTGACTGAAATGTGCACTGTCTAGTCAAAGCCTATAAGAATTTTGATTGAAAAAATACCACACCATTGAAATACAGTAGGCCTAGCTGAACGAATTAGTCTATAGGCATTGAGAAATTAAAAGATAGAGATAAAACATATATTTTATTTTTATTTGATGAAAATATCAAATATGTTGTAATTGAATATCTAGGTATAGTAATTTTTTAGCAAAGTCAATAGTTTTAAAATTGCTTTCTTCCTGTCTTCCACTCTGGATTATGTAGGTGGAACAGAGGCGTGAAGAATCCCCCTTGTGTCCTGTGCCAGCTTTCTGTGTTTCCTTGATAACTAGCGGGATAATAAGGCACAGAGTGGACACGAATTTCATTTCACATTTTATTGAACACATCCACACATGTAGGAGAAGGGTGGAAGGTGGTAGATATAAATGTATTATGGGCTATAAAGAGCAGCAGGGGTGTGACTGAGGGGCAGATTAGTGCCTCCTCACTAATTAGTGATTAGTGACTCCTCTTGTCATGGTGGGAGATACACGTTGAAGCCATAGACTGTAAAAAAAATATGGACAAAGCATCTGTGACGTCACCCATAGAGTCTATTGCCCCTTTTCCACCAAAGCATTTTGAGAGCCGGTTCGGAGTCAGTCCCTGCGCGCGAACCAGTTCTTTGTGTTTCGACAAAGAACCAGTTCTCGGCCGGGAAAACTGGTTCCAAAGCAGCACAGAATCTTTGCTGGACTAGAACCATTCTTTTACCATGTCATGCTTACGTAGGGGGCTGGGACGCGTTTAGATGTGTTCTACATCTTTTCTGACCATAATAAAGGAGCTAAAACGTATGGCGACGTACACAGTGACGTAACGACATCGTTCCCTGGGCGCTCTCAGTGGAAAAACAAACAGGTTCTGAACGAACCAACTTTGAACCAGCACCAGTTCCAAACCAGTTCAAGGTACTATCTGGGTAAACTCATGTGACAAGTTAATACTATGACGAATGAATGGAGTTGTGTTTGCAACTTCTAGGTAAAATAAGCTAACGTTAGCAGCTAACTGAAAAGCTGCGAAATTTAAAAATATTGCTGTTATTGTATCACAACATGTAGTTTTAATAGTTTTCAGTCGACAATGTAGTTGTTTAAAGCTCAAATCTGTGGTTTATTTATAAAGATTGCGCCTATTAAAATTTGATCTGACGTTTTCGTTGTATCCAGGGGTTCGCCGGGCGCTCATGTAACGTTACTCTGCATGGAACAGCCTTGCCTCGGCTAGTGCTTCTGACGTTTGCCGCTGGCTCTGATGTCTCTAGTCTACTCCACTCCATTAGGCCCTGGAGATGATGAAGCCCTTGCCTTTCTCACAGCCTGCTCTACCTCTTTCCACTTGGGTACACAGACCTCCATTTGGTATTCTGGGGGATTGATAGGTTGTCTGATGGAATTGACATACTCTCATGCTTTTTTGCATCTGTATGCATGTCCTACAAATATCTCTCTAGCTCAACCCTAGATGCTTTTAAAGTGCCTTTCTTCTCCCTGGTGAATAACTTCTTTACGGATTTGAATGGGTCTTTATAGAAATTTGCACGTTTCTTCTTTTTTGTAGCGTTTCTGTAGGCGCTCAGCTCTGTGTAATGTTGCCAGCTTATCTTTTATCTTATAATGGTTTGAAATTAGCAGGTTAAAAATGCTTCACATTTTGCCAGAGGAAAAAAAAAAGACAAAAATGTCACATTTATAAAATCTCGAGCATAGACAAGATTCATATGGGATCTCGGATTCGAATGATCACGTAGTGGTTTGGAGAATGAATGGTTCCTGACTGTTGACCTATAAAACATGACCTATCAAATGGTGATTCAAATGTTGCTAGACAAACTACACTTTCAAATAGCTCCCCCACAACCAACAGTTTACTCAAATCAGAAATCAAGATCATTTACTCACCTGCAGGTTCAGCAGACAGCCATGGTATCCAGCATGGAAAACTGAATGAGCTCGAGCACTTATATTTCTCGTTCTAACTCTCTAATCCCTTTATTGTACCGTTGAATATCATTGTTAAGATTTCTTAAATTAATCGTGGCCTACTTATTTTTAATTAAAGTTGCATTCGTGTGGTTTAAGAACACTCCGGAGAGATGACGAGCTCAGAAGACGTTCTAATTAAGTTGAGGAATGTTTTCTAGATGAAGCGACTTGACTATCATTAAAGATACACACTTGAGCCCTGAACAGTCCAGTGTGCAGCTGGGACTGTCTTATACACATTCAAGAGCTTTCTCAGCAAATAACATAGCTGCTAATCTCTGTCTTTCTCTCTACTTTTGAAAGTTGTTATTATAAGACTGATAAGCACACAATTGGCGCTTAGAGACTGACTTGGGATTTTAATTACAGGGGTTTTGCAAGTTGTTTATTTTCAGTGTGAAAAACAAGATTTATTTGTGTTTCAACTTCAAATTCTACACATACGTAGGCTAATACTGAAAAAATGCGAACAAACTTTAACCCGTTAACACAACACGCGACACGATACCATTCATTTTCAATGGTGAGCGGGCGACATCCGGCGACACGCGCGACAGCGACCGTTGGGGCATGTCTAGCGACGCGACAAAATTGAGAAATGTTTAAATTTATGCAAATGGTATATTCGCGAGCGACAACCAATGGGCTATATGCACGCATAAGTTCCGCATTTGACGCAAGGATGCTCGTCTATTTCCGGTTGTGTAGATTAAAGCGGAGGAAAACCGGAGAAAACGGGATTATGGCAGAGTCTTCAATATTTACTGTCCTCCCGTCTTTGAAACGAAACGTACATAGCCTACGTTTAGATGTAATTTTATATACAGTTATGTTTATTTAATATAATTTTAAAAAGAAGCATAAACACAACGAGGGGTGTCTGTTTTATCTGTTTTTGTGACTAACGTTTCTTTATTATAACCATGGAGTATAAAATTCAATATAAATTCTCGCTATTGCATTGGACTCTATGATCGGCGGAAGTTATCGAGCATCCTTACACCTTCACCGGAAGTACCGCCGTGCATAGAGCCCAAAGGAGTGAAGTCAGTGGAGCGCTTCACTCTTCAGTGCTGAGTCTGACCGAGGCAAGTTGAACGAGAAGCTCATTTTAGCCTTCAGAAACTGTCCTATAATTCATGATATATCTCCGTGTACATACAGTGGTGTTCATCATACTGACTCCGTGAATGAATGGTTTCAGGGAACCCAGTTAACTGCTACAGTTAACTTAAATTGCCGCGATGGCAAAGAGCACTGTTTTTCATTCATCTTTAATATTTTGCATTTTATGCTGATTCCATTTATATTTAGACTTTTCCTTACAAAATATTTGTTTGTAGCAGCAATGAAACGTATTTGTTGTCTAACATAGAGTAACTTCCGTGAATATCAGTCACAAACATTACTAGGCAACCAGTAGTGGGGAACGCCTTCCAGCGCAGCCACAGGCGACCTGCACCGACAACAAAGTCGCGTGTAGTGTGAACGGGGAGTAGGCTATCTGGCTGTATTGCAGTCGCAACGCTTTGACGCCACCTGGCGTCTGAAATAAACATTGGACACATCAGTTTGATCTTTTATTACCTGCTGTGCACCTTTAAACTGAACTTCAATCATCTCGTTTCTTTTTTTATTGTGTTTGCGCGCGCACAAGGCAGGACAGAATCTGGTTTTACATTATTATCACAACCACCAACTCTGGATCCCATTTCTGCCTAAAATGATCTTGCAGGCATCATTGATATTGTTTTTTTTCTAAAGCACGTTTATCAAAGCAATTTAATGCCCTAATTGCATTAAAGTCTAATCCTGGCTTTTAAACCTTGTCTGTGAAACCAGGCCACCGAGTCAAAATTGGCCTAAACGTCGTAGCTAGTAATGAGAAAAATATATGATTGTATGATGTAAAACGTTGAATGACATTAACATTGAAATCTGACATATTTGTCATAATTTGCCAAATGACTTTTTGTCATAACTTTGTATTTTTGGGTCATTTATTTCATAACTAACTTATGACTTTGAATGCTTTTCATCTCATAATTTCGACCTTTTACAATGAAAGATTGTTTTATTATGTGCTTCCATACACCATTCCGAGTCTGACCCTAGGAAATTGATTTTCTTTTTTCTTTTTCCTCACAAAAATGTTAACATAATACAAATGAATATTCTTCACGTCACACAGTTTAAGTACAACTTTTATTAATACTGGAATCATCACAGTGTGTTTTGTTACATTAGCTGTGACTAAACTTAACAAAAATTAGAAGGATAAATATTACCAAAAGGGAAATGATGTTATCAGCAACAGTGGCAAATTAGCCTTAGGAAAACAGCACAATAAATTAAAGCAGAAGAGGAAGCGAGAAATAAGAAAGAAAGAGACGACAGAACCTGTAGCGTTAACTTACTCAACTTCAGTCAGAGGATGACGGAGGGGAGGATGGGATCGGACGAAAAGAACAAAAAAAAACAATACACACGTCATATCTTTTACATGAGAAGTAAGTATTCAGAAATAGTCAAGTGTTGAGCGGTAGGGCCTTTTGTTAGGCATGGGTGATGCTACTTGTATGCGAGCGGAAAAGAAAAGACTCTCAGCTCAGGCTAACGGCGTAAGACATACGGCCCAGTTTCCATGACACCCGGTTGCCAAGCACTCTTTCCACGAGCGCGCGGTGGAGATGGCAGTGAGCGGAAATCGCAGTGTCGTGGCTGAACCGAGCGTGGGAGACGGTTGTCTTTCAGGGCATTTCTCCATTTTCCAGGAGCAGCGGGTGGCTAAGGAAGATTGGGGGGCTCTACGCGTTACGGTCTAAATGAGCATTTTATCCCTCTGTCACCCGAAACAAATTATCATTTATTGTCTGTAGCCATTTTAGAGATGTGAAACACAACGCAGAAGGAAATGGGACGACAGAGAAAAGGCTTGAGTGCAGTTAGTGAATGGACAGTGAATATCAAAAAGGCATAAAGTTGCTTAAGGCTAACATTATACTATTGATTGTGCTAACTCTATAGGATTTGGTCAATAATGTAAATATAAAGGATAGCCAATAGATTTATTTTTTGGCATTTGCTTGGTTTACCAACAAATTTGATGTGAAGGCAAAACTCAAGACAATTTTACAGTTTAAAAAAATATATCCAATGTGCTTGCCTACTTAATAATGGTTCTTCAGGTAACAGCAAATCCCATCAAAATGTCTGAAAGGGATGCATTTAATTTTTTTTAATGATTTATTTTTAGGTGAGAGTGGGAGACGTTTGGCCCCTTTGTTGTGAGATGATGTTAGGATTAAAATAAAGTATTGCTCTCAAAAATCACATTTACACATCAAAGCACATATATTTCTAAAGCACTTCTTCCCTGATAATAACTAGGAACAAACAACCCAATCTCATGAGAAAATGTGGTTGTTTCAATCCATGTTTGGGTCAAATATGTACAAACCCAACCATTAGGTTTAAAAATTCAAGAAAAAAACTTTAAACCAACGCTTGGGTTTGTTCAAATTTGACCCAAACATGGGTTGAAACATCCCAAACATTTTTAGAGTGAGGGTGGTGATTTCGTATAAGTTTTGTACAATGTGATCTGTATGGAAAAGTATGATTTTTAGAATAATAAAACATGAAGGTCCAAGTCTAAACCTTATCGACCGCACTGGGCTCCACTCCAAAAATTCAGCAAAACATAAAATAGTTCAGAATTTCCACAAGAGCGTATTGGACAAATTCTGAATTCTGAGCTTCACAAATTTCAGGTGTAAGATATAACAGGCTAATAAAATCACATTTTCACTGCTGAATTGGGATTGCTTGACTTATAGTGAGAGTATGACATTCAGCAGGAGACAAATGAACATGACGCTAGTAATGTTAAACACAGAGAACAAACATGAAAAGAAAAATGTTTAGAATCACCTGAGAACCAAAATAGTCAATCTGCTGTGTGAGTATGTGGGTATATAGACACTGAAGGCTGAGCTCATAAGTGATAGTTTTTCTGTCCCCCCAGTTTCGACTAAAGGGGCTTTTAACTGTCCCCTTGCTTCATGACCTCAAGAGCAGAAACCAGCAGAGACTGACTTTACAATAAAGAGACAACAGTAAACCAACTACCTGCAATCAGGCTTTTGTGTCTTTTTCCCCTCTCGCTTCACTTCGCACCTGTTTCTTTCAGCAATTATTCTCAGCTGACCATGTCTTTCTCACGCTTACTCGTCTCATCCTTCTTTCTCTTTCACTTCTCGTCCAATCTTCCTTCTCTCCTGCCTTTACGTGTCTGTGTATTTAATGCTGTACATTGAACTTCTGAGAGCTTTGTGTGATTTGCAGGCGATGAAGCTTCACATGAAATATATTGATATGTAACAGATATTTTTTTTTCTCTTCGTCCAGCAAACTTCACTATATTGCTGCCAAAGTCAATGCACTTGTCGTTGATTCTTCACGCACCCCATAGCAAGACAACATTTATGTGGGACATTTGTTTTTAGTGAAGCTACAAATACTGTTCACCTTCTTTTACAGTATGTACGTATGTATATGAATATATACAAATTATATCTGACCTGCTCTTTCACCGGCTGGCAGTGTGGGCTTTGCATTGCTGTAACCCTGTTCTCTCATTCCAGCCCGCTCTCAATACGCCCTCCGAGTTCCAGAACGGCATTATTTTAGGCAAGATATCGGTACACTCGTACATACTTTCACAAAGCAGACATACTTTTCCTTTTGAACACGCTACAGGCATTCCTAAAACAGAGTGCTCTATGCAAAATAAATAATTTAAAAAAAAAAACAACAACCCGAAAGTCTGAGTATGGAGCAAGTGTCTGGCGCAACAGCACTATTTATGACTGCAGGGGTTTTAGGGAGTCTTGGGAGAACAGAAAGTCACTCACAAACAGACACTACATGACTAAAACTATGTTTTGACCTCCTACATATCACTTCCACATCCAGTATCATCACAGAGCATTGTTTTTCTTCACGTCCGGTGAACCGGGGTAACCTGCGACCTTTCGCGTCATAGGTATTTACTCCTACATTATCTATAACAGGCAGTGGAATGCTTTTATCATAAACAACTGGATGAGTTTCTTCCCAGAGTTCATTCTCTCCACCTCCTTTATTCATCCCCTTCTTCCCTCTGCAGAACCAAAATTCTTATGTCCCAAAAAATGGCAGCCAGGTGTGTGCCTTCATCTTAGCTCATTCTCTCCACTCCTCCGACGGATATAAATCAGGGGACTGTGGTTTGAGGCTTGACAAGGAAAAGATCATTTCTGAAAAACTCAAATTGGAAATTAAATATAATGTATCAACCAATTCCCTTTCAAGATCATTAGTCACACTTTACAATAAGATTCAATTGGTTAACAGTTACCGCAATAGGTATCATAACTAACAATGAACAATATACATATATGAGTGTGTGTGTGCGAAAGTCTCTTATGCTCCCTAAAACTGCATTTATTTAATAAAAAAGTGTTTTTTACATCTTGCAAAATGGTCTATATATATATATATATATTAAAATGAAATGTATTCCTGTGATTGCAAAGCTGAATTTTCAGCAGCCATTACTCCAGTGTCACATGATCTACGATCAATCCTGCTTAAAACTTTTGGGAAAACTGTGATTCATTTTTTTTTTTTTTCTCAGGATTATTTAATGAATAGCGAGTTTGAAATAAAAGTATTTATTTGAAATACAAATCTTATGATACATTATAAAAATCTTTATGTAAACTGTGATCAGATGAATGTGTCCTTGTTGAAAAAAAGGGCAAATTTATACTGCTTGAAATTTTAAAACATTTTAAGATTTAGAACAAGTATAATTTAACATGAACCTAATTGCTGTTCATTGCTAGTTACTGGTAGCTAATGCATTAACAAATAATGTTAAGAAATTGAACCCTATTGTAAAGAACTTCCAAATCATTTTTCCTACCTCTTTCACACCTTGCCACTCTCTTTTTTCTATATCCTGACATTGCTACGCACATTTGTCTCCCTAAGTACCAGGGCACGTGACCGCGGCGTCTCACAGCATTCACCACACATAGTGTGGCCACAGTGACAACTAGTGGTCTAAACTACACCTTGAAAGTGCTCTGCATCCTCTCTATTTCTCATTTTCTTTTAAAATAAGCCACAATTCGACTCGACAAGAAGTCTTCGAAAGCATCTGCTTCCCCGAAGACACCTGAACATCAAAAACGTGCAGCTTTATTAAAAGCTGATCTTTGACACCTTCCCCCATCAAAGAAAAAAGAAAAGCATTATTGCTCCACATTATCATGGTGGTTTTTAAACCCTAATTCTACAAAAAATCCACATACCTGACATATACGTTTCCTACTCATAGGAGCTAGGAGGTGATTACTTGCTTGTAAATAAAACGAAACCACAGAAGTGTACACATAAAAGAGAAATCCTGTCCCTCTACGCAACCACAAGCTGACCTGCAGCAGAGCCCTGCTCACCTCCAGACTACAGACCAACATACAACAGCAATACCAACTAGACTTTCAGGATGTGATGTTAAATTTACCGGAGGTGAGGGTGGGGTTAGAGAGAGAGCAAGGATTTTCAAAGAGGACCTGCGTACCCCATGAGCTTCTCCAGCACTGATTCCTGGGGTCCATAGTTTGAGGAGGGCCGTTATTCTAGGGGGACCATGCGAAGATCTGGAGCGGACCACAAAAATCCCCCAAACATCCTGGCCCCTTATTCTTTTATTAATTATTGTCTCACTACAGTTCAACTATCCCGCAGTGATGGGCGTGTTAATAAGACAAACATGCGTTCGAACACGCTAAGAGTTATAGTGGCCTGAGCCTGCTGTTACATATCATTTACTTTTTTTCATTACTGTTATTCATTATTTCTATAATGACTTTTAAACATTTAATTTTTTAATCCTCTTTTCATAGCTCGCTTTCTAAAGAGAGTCATTGTGAAGTTTTTTTTTTTTTTTTTTCTGGGTTACTTCTCTCTTATTCCCCATCTCTCCAGGAGGCATCACAAAATCCGGGGCGCCGAGCGGTCGTTGGAGACGGTTTTGCGCAGTCGCACCCCTCGACGAATAGACCTCAGCATGTCCTCACCCTCCGCTTCAGGGTCCGGCTCGGCCTCGGGGCCCGGCGGGGGCTGATTCGGAAGCAAGGGGAAGGGGAACTGGCCCTCACCTAAGGCGTGAGCGCTGGCCACCAGCTCCCCGATCTTTTCCACCAGGCTGTGACGGTTTGCAGCCAGCAGGTGATCTTCTTCACCCGGTTGGCCGTACACGCTCATCTCTAGGCCGCCCACGCCCCCTGAACCCCAGGCTGTGTTGGGCAGGCTAAGCCGCTTTGGAGAGGCCTTCACGTACTCAAGCGCTCCCGGGGAGGCGTCATCCGGCACATAAAAGACACATTCTTCGCTGCCCACGCGGGCGGGAGGGCCTGCGTTCCCGCCGGGTGAGTCAGGCACAGTGGGGGTCTTGACTGGCACGATGGGTGGGCGTATAGGAATAGGGCCAGCATTAGAGAGGGTGCGTCTCACCCCGGGCTTCGTAGATGGTGTTCGGCGAATGGTGGCCGTGCCTCCGCCTCCGCCGGGTGGTCCGCCCAGAGCGCCCACTCCGCTGGGCAGGCCTGCTGTGCTAGCAGGACGCTTAGTCTGTATCATGCGCCGGTAGTTCTGTGCGATGTTACTGTGGCGAGGAATTGTGGAGGATTTGTCGAATTCAGCCTGACCGTCAGCCTCAGTGTCTCCATTCACTGAGTAACCATCATAATCGGAGCCTGACAAAAAAAAAATCCCACATTTCAAATTTCAAAACTTGTTTTTAATTGAATAATGAGTAAATAGCTGTTAGTTACTGTGTAAATTTGGGTGTTTCTGACTGTGCATTACCCTGTGAGGGGATGGTATCTTCTGAGCAGGAGGGAGTAGTTGTCTGAGTGCTGTATCCACTCGAGTACTGAAGGGAGTCTCGGCTGCTCTTCTGTTGCTCCATGCTGAGGCCTCGAGTCAGAACCATGGCCAGATCACTAGCAGCTGGAGAGACCTCCTCACCATGCTGCACCATAACACAATATAGTTATTTTAAGCACAGACTCCACACACTTGTTTATCAAGAAGAAACACGTGTAAGTAAAAAGTGATATAAAATGTTTTAATATTACTAATATTAAAAAAAGGAGAATAATTGTTAAACAAATGATCTTTTTATTGTGTGCCAATTCCTAACAATTATGTAAAATCCGTGAAAGTATAACTGAAATTTTTATTTATTATACATGAACTGCTAACTATGAAGATATGCTGAAAATGCTCAATGCAATACATCAATAAATCAATTGAGATGTGGTGGAAATTACGTACACTGTGATTGAAATGTTCATTATGTTGCAAAAATTGAGAAAAATGTAATCTGATGAATGGATGTCAATGTTGGAAACTGTTAATGGACAATGGCTTGCTCAGTTGGGGATAATCAAATGAATTAACCAATCAGTAATACCATTAATCAGCTCTACCAAACGTGGGAGTTTTTCCACTAAGAAACGAACATTGTTATTATGTTTTTTTGATTGATATTGTGAAGCTGCTTTGATACAATCTATATTGTTAAAGGCGCTGTATAAATATTTTTGACTTGACAAACTTAATAAGCTAGTGAGAGTAAAATGTGTTTTAAGACTGTTACCTTTATTACAGTGGTTCTCAATTTATTGCCTCTAAGAACTCCCAATCATAATATTTGAAGGCTGCTTATTTTCAAACTTTTTAATTTAGTGGCAATGTATTAAAACAAAATCAAATTCCCAAATTCTAGACGTTTCAACAACCGAATGTTCTTCAGGGTTTACACTTTTTATTTCCTTTTTATTGTGAATTTAAATAACCTTTCTAGTTGTTTGTCCTTCTAGGGTTTTTTATTTATTCATGATTTTTTTACTCACAAATTGCAATTTCTACCTTATATATTATATTTTAGAGCTCAACATAACTATAAAAAAATTATATTCAGTTTTAAAATTCCCTCCAGGTTTAGAAGAGCATGAAAACTTAATAATAAAATTTAAATGTATTAAAACTTAATAAATTAAAATAAATATGACATCAGTTTACACTTAGATTTTTAATGGTTTTAGCTTTATTTTGAGTAATTTTTAAAAAATAATGTTAAGCCACTGCCTTATTCAATTCTCAAGGCCAGAACCATCCATCTTTGTAAAAACAGCCCTAAGCAAACGAGCAGATTATGTCTTCTACCCAAATAAAAAACGCTAGGCATTTTCAAAATTAAAATCTGCATGATGAATGTTTTATATGGTGAAAGTTACCTTGGCAGCTATTGTAGCTGGGGTCATCCTTGGCCTCTGGGGGTCTTCCGAATGCATCCCAGAATACCCCTGTGACTGAGGAGAGGTTTCTGCCTCCTTCAGCCTATCAAGAGGCTCCTTCCTCCTCTGAAGCGTGCTGGCCAACGGCTGCTCACTGGAACCTACCTTGGACCAGTCCTGAGGAAGTACAAGCGGTTAGTTCAAGGCAGTGTAAAGCAACAAATGCAACGGTCTCAGGGGCGGGAGAGAAGCCTGGCCCACGATCCAGCAGTTTGAGTGTCCTTTCAACAATGTGCTTTAGAAAAAGCCCAATCTCAGTGTTTGTGCCACTGTTTGAGTTGGATAAACTAACAGGTACTGTACCTTCCGTGGCCTGCTCGGTTTAGCAAATCTCACAGCCAGAGATTTGAAACCAGGATCAAACAGCCAACAGCAAAAGTGCGTGTTTAAAAGCAAAATGAGGTAATGGATGAGGTTAAGCAGAATGAAACCAAAACGGAGCACTGTCAAAAAGTGTTATTCAGGAGGCACGTATTCAACACACAAGAACGCACATAAAAGAAGAGGAAATAAACAAAACTGCAATGACAAGTGCCAATGAAGACAAACCTTCCAGCAAGGAACCTTGGATGTGGGAGAGGGTGTGTTGGATCCAGGGGAGCGGTTATAGGGTGGGGACGCAGGAAGTATGACAGAGAAAGGCCTGATGGAGCCAGTGTGAGAGAGAGCAGGGCGGAAGGTAGCGAAGGACGAGCCAAACTGCGGAATGGAGAGATAAGATCGAGACCGTCAGAGTAGCAAGAGACCCCCTTTACACAACGGTATGGGAGCCTTTGCGTGTGACTTTGCAGATGCACGCTGAGAGTGGCAGGGAAGATCAGATCTGATGACAGCAGCACAAAGCTGATAACGGCAAGAAAGAACGTCAAGACCCCAACCTGCGAGTCAGCATCAAAACCCTCATGCATTGTCACATGGACAAGAACAAAATATCCCTGACAGTTTCAGCACATGTATGTCTGGTGGACAGAGCGCCCGTACTTACTGTGGTTGGAGAGCTACACTCACTAACTGACTGGCAGGTCTCAGATGCTTCTGAGGACGCTGAACTTGATGACTTCTGCAAGAGAGATAAGAATAGACAGGCTATAAGCAGAACTGTAAAAAAGTATATGATCAATACGTTATGACAACATGTTTTTAAATAGCATCTCATCAAAATAAGTTAAGCAATTTTCAACTTATTTTAGTTAAGTTATAAGTTAAGATTCAACTCATTTTTTCAGTGTAATATAATTTAAGTTGAAATGACTTAAACATCCAAGTGGATTGAACTTAAAAAATTTTAAGCAGCAACTTCTATTTACAGCGAGGGAACCAGTCAATGAGGGGCTCTTATAATATATACTTATAATAAATGCACACTTCACAAACAGATAAAAGACATTTTAAATTTAAAACATTTTTTAACCAAAGGACTTTAAGTCATTTGGATTTTCATATTTAGTGTTGCCATATTAATTACTATTGAAAAGAGAAGAGTTTGTGGTCAGTGATTTACAATTTAAATAGAAAACTGTTAAATTGCCATAATATTTTACAATGTTACTGTTTTTGCTGTTTAAAAAAATCAATTCAGCCTTAGAGACATTTTAAAAATCTTTTATAATTTTTAACATTTATAATACCTATAATATTTTATCATACTTTTAATGTATTTTAAGAGCTACTTTTTTAGCGCTATAGGGGAGCACTCATTCTCTCTCATTTAATGAGTATGTTGCCATCTGCTGGTTGTTTTCATATCTAGCACATTGTAGAGGTGTGTGAGTGTGTATGGCTAGTACTTTAGCATCCTGGTTAAGGGTTTATGTAATAAACCTCTGTAATTAATTATCTTGACCGTTTGACTAAAAAGAAACTAAACGATTCAAAGGGTTGTTTATTCTTGTGCTTAAGGTACCATCAAAAAATTAACATTACCTAGTGTGGTTTTAAATTTTCTATGCTAGGTTGACCCGCAACATGCTTATTCGTCAGTGTCACATCTCGACCATGTATTAAAAAATCCTATTTTTATCCCATTGAGAGAGTAGCATGTGAGCTCCGAGACAAGTCTATTTCTTTTGCTTTACACCAAGAAACGTGCTTAAGAAAGTAAAAGTACCTTGTCTGTGTACATAATGTAAAGCCTATGTTCCACATATCAAGCTTCACAAGCTAATTTCAAAGCTCTTTCTATAACACTTTTTCCCAGAGCATGTAAACAATTCTGCCTCACCCACATTCTGAACATTGGTCAAGAACTGTTTGATATACAGAGTCTTGTCCACAAGAGGTCACTGTAATCTTTCAAAGAGGGAATATTGCTTCATGTTTAAATCTGAGACAGATGTGTGGTAACAATGTGGCTTCTTCAAACAATTATGTGGGGCTTCAGTTTCAGTTTGTCATTGCCGTGTCAGCGGAACTTGGTGAGCTCATGCTTACAAACTTATTTTGTATTTAACACATACAGGTGTATTAAATTTATCAAATATGTCAGTTAAAGACTTATTTTAGGTTTAATTTAGGATCATGAATTTTGGATCATGTTACACTGAAATACTGGAGCAATGATGCTGAAAATTCATCCTTGCCATCACAGGAATACATTACAATATATTCAAATAGACAACAGCTATTAAAATTAAAGCAATATTTCATAATATTACTGTTTTGAATATATTTTTGATCAAATAAATGCAGTCTTGGTAAGTGTAACAGACTTTTTTTCAAAAAACATCTTACTGACCCCAAACTGTTGATCAGTATATGATGAAAACAAACCAAAAAGGGAGAAATAAAATATTTTTGTGCATCAAGACAAAAGTGTCAGCCATTTTTAAACATCTTACTGACCACCACAAACAGTAGTGTATATAATACATAAATATTTACCATCTATTACAACAATAGATAAGTTTGCTCTTGTTTTGCAAGGGTCAATTTGACTGATATATCTGAACGTGACTGAAAATTAGTTAAATGTACCTTATAACTTTCCATTACCAACATTTCTTTAAGACAACAGGGTAATAACAAACACAAATAAACAAGAAATAAATACCTGGCTGGTTATATCGGAGGGCATGGGTGATGGGGGTTTGGAGTAGACGTTGGCGTCCTGGGAGATGAAGCCGGAGTCGTGGGAGGAGACGCTGCTGAGGCGGTGTGCAGCGGTTGTTAGCGGTTGGGCCAGGCTGCGGTAGCGACAGGACGAACTGGGTGAGTGAGTCTGAGAGCCACCAGAGGATCGAGAGGCACTACTATGGGCGCTGTTTACACTGCTGCAGGGGCAAGGGAAAGTGTGACAGGGCAGAGGACCAGGGTACAAGGGTGGGGTACGGAGCGTCAAATATGGGCAGGTTATTTTGTGAGAAGTGTGAACCACATCCACAAAGTCAGAATGAAAATGAGAGGTTTTTACAGGATGACAGGAACAGATAAAGTCAAGCATTTTGTGATTGATGTAAAGAAAAATGACATAATAATGATAGATGAGAAAAAAAGTTGTAGGTGAAAAGGAGATGGACAAAGAAAGGTCTCGAGCAGGGGTTGATGGGTAAGGATGGAGGTCAGGGTGGGGGGGGGAGGCAGAGGGAGAACATATGTAAGACAAAGTTTGACAGGTGTGACACAGGAGGCCTAGTATGGAGATTGAAGGCTGTGTTCAGATGTGTCGGCACTTTGCAGCCAACGCACTTGAATCAACCCCCATGACTCCATGCGAGGTGGCACACACAAACAGGTACTAAATGACACTATTACAAAATGAAGCTTTAATTGGCCCTGGAGCCAAAGCAAAACAATAATGGTCTAATCAAAAACTCCAAAGGGGCTGGATAGTTATGTAAAAGTGATCTTGAAAAGCTTTCACTTCTATTGAAGTAATTGTTTCATCATATTTTGGGTTAAAAACAATACAGGGATATTAGACATATTCTGCTAATGGGGTTTAAAATGTATTTAACCTGGAATATTCATTTAAAAGAGCACAGCACTGAAGTTACGCTCATCAGACGCACTAATTGCTAGAGAATTAGAAAAGTAATAAAATCCTATTAAACAAGCTACTTTAGTCTTATTTTGTTAATTGTAATCACAAGGACTCAAAGGATGAATATCATGAATCAATAAGCATTCAACTGTTGTCGTTGAAAGCAAGGTATTTACAGGAATACAAAATAACATTCAAGGACCGCAGTGATCTGTCTCTTGTGACTATTATGCAGTCAGGAGGTTACATGGGATGCCGACATACAGTACAGGGTGATTGTGTAGCGCAGCAGCAGTAGCATCAGCAGCAGCAGCTTTCTTATAGTACGCACAGTTTGCATTCAAAATATACACACTTTCACACAAAATATAACCATGTTGGAAAATGAAGTTATTAGCTAGATGCAAGATGGTCATTGGCATTAGCATTCCCTTAAAGGAAAATTCACCAAAAATCTGTCATCATTTACTCACCCTTATGTCATTCCAAACCCTTAAGATTCTTATTTGAAACACAAATGAAGATATTTTTAATGAATCCTGAGAGATTTCTGTCCCATTGAAGGTCCATTCAGCTAAAACTTGATATTTCAAAAAGTTTATAAAGACGCATGTATGAAGCCTCAATAAAAAAAAATAAAAAGTGATTAAAAAGTGTTTTTTTTTTTGTATTATTATTAAACAGCTCAATTAATATGGATTACTTTTATGATGTCTTTATGAACTTTTTGAAACGTCATAGTTTTGGTGCAATGGGCTTTCAATGAAGGGACTGAAATTTTAGGTTTCGTTAAAAAAACATCTTAATTTGTGTCTTGAACATGAACAAAAGTATAGGTTAAACCAATTTCATGGTAAGTAAACAATGACAACATTTTCATTGTTATGTGAACTATCCCTTTAAGATGGAATGTCCAGCTGGCATCTGGTTTGTTTGCTGCTCCAAAATGGTCTACCAGCTTAGATCAGCTCAATACCAGCGACCGTATTTCAAACAGCATAAGCTTGATTTTCTAGCAAGGTAGATACAAGTATAAGCTTCAATTCAGCAATTCATTTTTTGCAGTAAACTGTACTGTTTTTTGCAACAGCAATTACAACAATGAAAAGCCAAGCAACATAGTTCACAGCACAAGCAACAAACCTATCCAGGAGATAAAAGGCTAATAAGCAGAAATAAAGATTTTACATGTCTCTCTTTATTTCTTCATCACTCTTGCTCTTACCTGCACATGCTGCTTTTCCTGGATCCGGAGCTGCTGGGAGAGGAGGGGGGAGTCTGGTACGACCAAGAGTAATCAGAACCCTTAAGGTCTTTTATTACCTGAGAGAAAGTTACAGAGATACACACAAATGAAATATGAATGGTCTTACTATGTTGTGTTTCTTTAAAGCACTGCACATGCTTCATGATGACTGAAGTGTATAAGGAGTATGTGCACCTGCTCGCTGGCTGGGGGCAGTTTGTGGGGGTCTGTGGTTAACACGGTGAGGTCATCAATAATGGCCTGGAGATGAGTGATCTCTCCCAACATGGCAATCTCTCCATTCTGACAATTACACAAGGGAGAAGAACAAATAGTTCATAGATCAAAAATGTAGTAGCCTACAATCAAGTGTTATTTTTACCAAATTGAGTCAATAAAAATGAGCTTTGTTGGTATTATTAAGGTTGATTCAATTATGTTATATCAATTTTTTGACTAGAATAAAACCAAGATACTGCCGAGCCGGTGTCTGGTCCTGAGAGGGCATCACTGCCCTGACCGCCCGCTGGACTCTGTGTTTCGCACTGGCCGCCCGCTGGACTCTGTGTTTCGCCCTGACCGCCCGCTGGACTCTGTGTTTCGCACTGGCCGCCCGCTGGACTCTGTGTTTCACCCTGACCGCCCGCTGGACTCTGTGTTTCGCACTGGCCGCCCGCTGGACTCTCTGTTTTGCTCTGGTCCCCGGATAAGCCCTCGCACCTTGTTCCTGTCTGACATGTACTTCAGACCTCTACCTTCCGCACCACAGGCCATCCTGTGTCTTACGTGTGAGGGTTCGAAGTATCAGAACAGGGTCCTACCCTTTGTGTGCTCCATAGCCAGTTGGGTCTTCAGGTCAACTGGGAGAGAGTAATCTCACCCACGGATTGAGTATCTCTTTCTCAGTTTGGAGAAGGACTCGGCCCAACATTTCTCTTCAAGAGGAGAGTGCGTTTGGCTGGTGTTATGTAAAAGTGAGAAAGGGTCCCACTGATAGAACTTTCAGAGGCTACTGGGGCATATGGCAGACACAGCCACTTGGCTTCCTCCATATAATGACCGCTTCAGCACTAGCTTCATGATCAAGTCCCGAGGTGACTGTGGCAGAGCAGCATGCCCTGGGTGACAACAGATCACTCTGGCCTGCTGCCAAACCCTCACCGACTGAGGGGCCATGTACAAAGAGCTTGCTTTAACAGAGGCCTGGGCGACCTCCGACTGGGCATTTGTGCCTCGAGTTGTTGCAGTTTTTTTCTAAAACATTAAAAACATTTAAACATCTTACCGACCCAAACCTTTTGAACGGTGATGTACATGGGAACACTTGACACCAGTTAAATTCTTTTAAACGATACCTGCTTTGTTAAAATTTTACTGCATTCACAATAAAAAGAAAAGTAAACTTCATTAACTTCCTTATTTTTCCGCCTGTCTTTTGCTTTAATAAATGTCCATATATAGTTATTTCCTCAAAACAAAGTCAACTGAGAATGAGATTAAAAGTGCTGTCAAATCTAAAATCACATGGCCTCTTAACTCTTTCCCTGTCAGCATTTAAAAAAAGTCACCAGCCACTAAGAAATGCTTTTATTGATTGTTTCTGCGCCTTTTTTGTCTGTGTTTTGATTTGGAGATTTTCCAGAGCAAGAAATCAATGGCTGGGGAAGCATTGTCTCGTAAATGACAGAAAATTCTGTCAATGGCAGGGAAAGAGTTAATAAATGGAGCAGGTATACAGTTGATGTAAGTGGGGTTGAGATGGGCAGTACCACTACAGGCTGCAGGAAGCCGATGAAGGTACAGAAGCGTCCTCTCTCCTCCACTAGAGCTCGCCGCACTGCCTGCTTCTCGGTCTCCTCCATCAGCAGGTACATGTCATTCACATCCTGCATGGCGCTGTCCAGCTGAGGCTGAAGGTCCCCCCGGCCTAAAGGGGGTGACAGAGAGCATAACAGAAAAAAGGGAAGGAAGACAGGGAGAGGGATGAAACAAGGTGGAGAATGGACCGAATGAAAATGGCCAAAGTATCAGACAAAAAAGGTCAAATGGAAAAATGAAAAGATTGTAAAGAACAATCAGAAGAAAAAAAAAAGTGACACAAGAGGGAATACAGCATTAGAACATGATGATCATTCTCTTTTCCAGCCTCCAACAATACAGACGTAATGCGAACACAGAACTACTCCGACTAGCACCTACACAACAGACGGAGACAGACACCTCTGAACTCTGCGATCGAACATCTTCTACTCTTAATGAAACACATTGAACCTCCCAGAGGAAGTTAAAAGGTTAACTCATGCAGACTAGATTGTTAGAGATGGTCGTGACCTTTGCTGAGGAAGCAAAGTCAGTTAGCCGCAGAAGAACTGCTTCCAGGAACACAAGCAGCTTGCATGCTGGGACGGTATCAGCAAAATCATGCACTAAGCAAACCCTTAGCTGTTATAACGGGAGAAATCACTTGTAAGTTGTCAAGCCAAAATGTCATGTGGGTGTTAAATCCGACAACCACAGAAGCTGTCTGCAGACGTGTTGGGGTCTTTTTCAAGTTGAGGCCGGGTTAAAGGGCCATGCAGAGAAAAGAGTGAGAAGAATCTAAGTGAGCCACAGCTTTGCGTGGAAAAACATACTTACCCTGTAGCTCTATAGAGGGAGAGTAGATGAAAGAGAGAGAGAACACAACGCGGGTGGGAATCCAAAGAACAGAGAGAAAGAGATACAGAGAAAGAGAGGAGGGAGAGCACTGTGTTAGGGTTAGTATTAGGAAGCAGATCAGCTCATTTCACGGCCAAATTGTTTCAGAAAAGCCAACCACCACAGCCAAATTAATCAAAAACCAGCCAAAAATGTACGATTTAATGTGCAATGGATCCAAAAGAAAATCAAAGAGGTAGTCTGGTCTTAGAAGGAATGAGATTCCAGACTTGTAATAAGAGAATAAGAATAAAAAGAATAAAAGGGAGCTTTTCCTTTAACACCGGACTCTTCCTAGTAACACAGGATTGTCATCCTATCTTCAAAAGCAGAAATTATTGGCTGCTGGGATATGAACACGAACTGCTTAGCAAATGAGGTGAGAGTTGCACTTCTGCATTTCAGCCGGCAGAGGGGGTTGCTTACATTACAGAGGATTGTTTGCCTGATATAAAATGATCAGTATTTTCACCAAGCGCATTCACATTGTGCACTCTATGCAGTCTATGCGGCTTTAACAACAGCACCAAGATTCATCTGTCCATCATCGACCATTACAGCCACTAAAAACACAGTGAACGCTGATGGCCTCCAATCAGCTGGTTGTTCTGAACGTCAAATAAAACAGCAAGTTTTGACCTTGAGGAAATGTCCTTGAGTTATTCCCAACACATTTCTGCTTTGTAATAGGGCAAAGTTATGTAATATTTATCTGCTCCATCAGGTTCACTGATATTAAAACACTGGTATGCTAGTGTGTCATTGGTGGGTGCTACTATGACAATATTTCACAGAATAAATTGACCAATTTTTTTGTCCTGCTGAAAAGTTCTTAGTGAAAACAAGGTGTGTTACCTTTCCTGGCTTTTTTCTGTAATTTCATGGTGTCTGAAGATTTTTTCTTTATTTCATGACGAGACCGTTTGTACTCTGTGAAAATAGAAGTATGTGAAAATGAATGTGTTGCTTACTTTTTAAGAACTGACACAGTGTACATATAGACAAAATCAAGTGCTTAGTCACCTTTGGCATGGTCCTTGTCCAGTTGATTTGCGGTCTTCTTCCAGTCTTCAATGCGGTCTTGTAGAGGAGTGATCAGGCTCTCCATCAAAGCACTGAGAGCAATGGAGAGAAAATGGTTTTCAACCATTCATAGCTGAGTCAGAGGTTCTCATTCAGTTACAGAGGGATATAAACATTTAATAGGAAATATCATCAAACCGGTGGCAGGTTCTGATCATGCAAAATGAAAACGTTGATTTACAGTGTGGCTTAGAGTTTGAGGCTACCATTCATTGGACAGTCAGAGGGAATTGTCTGCAGATGTCCACTAATGAAGTGTGAGTTTTTGTGTTCTCTTGCCATGCCAGTGTCATTAGATTTTGAGAGTGAGTCTGCGATTATAGTGTGCAAAACAAAACACAAAATAAAACAGACACAAAATATTGATTGATTTACTGATTTGGGTTGTAATTAATGTTAGAAAAATGGACCATGTAATGCCCCAATAAACCAATGAGAGTCCAGTACTCCAGGTGACTTGTCATAATGATGCATAATAGATAACACTGTTCAGTTTCATATATGATTTCCATATGAAATGTATAGCAATTACTTTTGCCCTTGTTTGTGCTCTAGTATGTTCTTATGTTGTGTAGAATCATATGCAGTATTAAGTATATTTGTATTGTATATAGACTTCTGAACTATAACACATACACTAGGAAGTAGTTAACAGGAGGAGTGCGGTCGTACTTAGTAAAATGGCGTAGTTTCGCCTCAATGCTGCGATGCCTCATACACATGCGGGTCAGCGCTGATCCGATATCCCTGGTGGCACCTACAGGATGCACAAGTGAAAGAAAACCTGTCAGAACAACACTGAAATTACTGTACTTTTATACGCTGCACTTTAATCACTAGCATTTCAAATTCAAGACATTAAAATACTTAATGTATGACAACTCTTAGAATAGCATGTAGCAATTCTAAGCAAGTATGGCCTTGCTAGAGCTAATAAATACACGGGCATGCTGCTGCCATTGTTATTTGTAAGATATATGCTGCTGCTGCATAAATAAACATACATAAATCCCGTAGCAGATCTAGGCAGATGGAGCTGAGGGAGGTGGAGTGTTTCAGAGTAACTCTGATAGTGTGATACCACCAGATGAATGAGATTCAACCAGATTAGAGAAGTTCGGTAATCTAGGCCTTACAGGGTTAATCTAGGCCTGCCAAACAGGCACAAACCCTAACATATCACCGTTTCACCGTTCAAATTAAAACCTACCTTTTTTCTCAAGTTTATTAAATTGGAAAATTCTCTTAAAAATACTTTTTGCATCTATGAAATACTAAGGGGTTGCAGATCTTGTGAGAGTCGCTAGACGCTATGTTTAAAATTTGTACTTATTATAAAGATTCTATTCATTAGGTCTACGTAGTTTGATTTTTTTATTTTATTTTTTTATGCTTTTCTTAACTGTATGTGTACCTTTGATGTTTCTGTAAAGCACTTTGGTCAACATTCGTGTTGTTAAAAGGTGCTATAGAAATAAACTTTGAACTTGACCTTGAAACAAGAAGCTAATAAATGCACGATTTTCAGTATGTGGATTGTGAGAATTTGGATATTTTCATATGAAAAAAAATGTTTACAGTATTGCTAAGCAAGGTTTCTTTTTTTCTAACAAGACTTAAGCTAATAGGTGGATCTTGATACAATGTAACTAAACCACCTGGATCCTAGAGCTGCAGTCTTGAAACCGTAGCCGCCGCTATATTATCCAGTTCGATAGGTGGCGCTGTCATTAAAAAAAAAAAGAAAAAAAGAAAAAAACTAGGGTCCTGAAACTGCGGTCCTAGAACTGGGGTTGTGCAGAAAAATACTACTGGATTAACATAGAACAGTAATGTAGTTAACATAACATAACATAGACCAGTATGTCTATGTTAGACCAATGTAGTTAACATAATATAGACCAGATTAACATAGACCAGTAATGTAAGCATGTATGCTTACTGAAGTCCAAATAGAGTGGTTTAATTTATCAAATTCCTCAAAGTGCGTGTGTAACCTGTAGCCATTGTATAAATTAGGCTATTTTTAGTAGCAGGTTGTAAAAAAAAAAAAAAAAGAAAAAAAAAAACCCTTTGGAAAATCCTGACCCTGTTTATAAGAGGCAGTGTGCTTTCTTCCAAAGAAGGTGGCCTGGACAGCTATAATTTTCCTGAAGTGTTTAAGATGTCAAACTGATTTTTAAACTGAGAAGTCTGTAAGTGTTGCCTGGAACCACAACAACCCTTTAGATTTAACTGTACCATGACCTTCAAAATAGGATACAATTCTTTATTTACAATATAAAAACACTGTATTTCATATGACTGTCACAACACAATACAAAAAAAAGAAAGAAGACACTTTTGAAGATGACAAGTTGAAATTTGACTAACAATCTAACTCAATGTCATGTCATCATATCAATAAACATTAAAGGTAGCCTATATGTTTCTCTGTTACCGGGGTGGCTGCGGCGAATTATTATATTATTACCAAATGAGTCTTTTCAGCTTATTCTCAGGGTGATGAAAACCTACATTCCACCATTAAATCCTGGTCTGTGCTGACCTCAGATCTCCAGTACCACCAGATGAATGAGATTCAACCAGATTAGAGAAGTTCAGTAATCTAGGCTTTACAGGGTTAATCTAGGCCTGCCAAACAGGCACAAACCCTAACATATCAACCATGGCCCTTAAAAGGTAAAAACTATGCCTTAAACATTGGGTTTAAGAGCAATCTATTTTTTTTTACCATTTATGGAAAATGCAGCCCGATCTCATGAAAGTTCGTATCTATGGCACGAATGTCATTTCTCGTGGCATTTATACGGCAAAAACAGTTTTTGCGTGTATATGGCACGCGATTTTCGCGTACATATGATACACACTTTTTTGCGTATAATACGCACGAACTCCCCACCCCCCTAAACCTAACCCAGGGTTTTTTAGTGCGTACCATATACACGAAAAAAACACTTTTGGCGTATAAATGCCACGAGAAATGACACTCGTGGTATAGATACGCATCTTCATGAGACTGTGTTGGAAAATGATATAGGCCTATTTATATCTCACTGGTATTTATTTCAGCATATATGTTAAATAAATCACCACCTGTAATTTTAAGTAATTTTATTATTTTAATTGCTCATATCTCGAGAGCCTAATTTGGTTCTCATTTATATTCTTAAGTATTCACACTGTCTCAGATGTTTCTCCTACAATTTGAGGAGATATAAAGACATAAACGAGGCTTGAATTGAATTGTTGACAATTGAGTGTTTACAGATATAAAATAAATCTGAATCAGATTGTTTGGTTTTGAAAGAATTTGTTAATATTGAAATGTCAGACATTTGTACTTAGTGTCTTGACAAATATGATAATAATTTGAGACATTGATGAGAATGTTTGACAGATTTTTCGAACAAGTACTGGATCAACATCCTTATTGATCCGGGAACAACATTCCAATCAACCAATCAGTTGGAAGGATAGGTTATCAGTTAAGTTTAGTTTAGTTAAGTCAAGTTAAAGGTATAGCGGAGGATCTTTCCGAATTTTAGAGAAGACCCGCCCTCTCCAATTTTTTAAAAAAATGCACATGCACAAACAACACAACACTCTTGCTCCCGAGAGCTAGGGAACGTCTATACGCCTTGCACAATTATGTTGCAAATTCTAAACTAACTAAAAAACATTCAGAAAAAAGACAACATGTCAAATGCCCTTCCGTGTTTTATTTACTTATTATACTGATCGATTGAGTGACCGAGGACTCAAGACATGATATGTGCAACCCTGTATCACACGAAATACGTTCTGAGGAAACTATTTTGCAAATCGCAATTACGTTACATAGCAACATACATAGCTCTCATTGTTAATACGTTATTTTTATACATAGTTGCATATGGAGAAGTAGCTTGTTGCATTTGTGTAATAATAAACACACAAGATTTTAGAATATTTCAGCGTGATACCATTTACCATTTTGGACAAAAGGCTACTTTAGACAAATTGAGATGTTTACCGTGTCTATGCGGTGCATGACTCGTGCCAGGGCTAGCATTGTAGCTTGCATTAACTTTTACTAGTGATTTTAAATGGATTTCTCCAAATAGAGTGACAAACTTTACCTGTCTGGTAGAATCTTCGCGACTGCGGCATCAGTGAGAAGCCCAACCTGTGCTTTTAGCGCACGCCAGTGTGTGATATTCACCCAAAATCTCTCTGGTCTTGTTTCTATATTCTGCGGCCTTTCTCTTCTTATCATACACTTAGTAAACATTTTTTCTCTTTCGACCCTCAGCCATTTTCAAAGGAATGGCTGAAACCGTAACTCCGACATAATACACCTGAAAGTGAAAACTACATAGGGATGAGCACGTAGCCTACGACGGCCTTACGTAAACATATCACCAGAATGATTGACACTTAAGTGGACCAATAGTATAGACTACCCACCCGGTAAAAGAAAATCCTCCGCTATACCTTTAAGTCAGGTTTTGGCTTACAACAAGGTTTAGGGGTTTCTACACCATTTACACCAACCAAGTTATGAGTATGGTTAAGTTTAGGGGTAGGAATAGGGTTAATTTAAGACTATGTTTTTGGGTAGGATTGGGTATTGGTAAAATCACAACGACCTTTGACATGCCTTTGACTTGCATTGTCATTATTTATTATCTACTGTTTTGCCAACAATCTATTGCCATTTTACGAGAGCAGTACGGTGTTCACTGACACAGAATTTCGGCTGAGTGCATTGAGTTAAACATGCATGTGTGCCAATACACACACACACACACACACACAGGGCACACATGCATACAAACATTGTTTCTCCAATGAGAGCCTCCCGTAAGCCACGAGAGAAGCTCCATTCATAATTAACACATTCCTGCCTCATGCCTCCTGTTCTACCCAGCAACCATTCATTAATCCATCCCACAAACACACAGCAGAGTGAGATGATACAGTGTCTAATGTCAAAGTACCACCATACCTTAAGATGGTGAGAAAACATTACGAAAGACAAAAACCGGGAACAAGCGTGAGAGCAGAAAGAACCAAGTGAGGTTGCACATTTTAATTGCTTCTAAAATAAGACGTTTGTTTGTATGTTTGTAACCGATTTCTCCAATCATTTAGTTCGCTTGAACTCTGCACCAATCATCTGCAAGTTAAGATTCAAATCTGCCTCCATCCTATCAACAACCGATGGATAGAACCAGAGACAATTTATATAGAGACATGCCACTTTCTATAGAGACATTCCTAAATGCTCAATACAACTATATAGGGAAAACCCGTAACGGCATAGATGGCAGTTGTATGCACATGTCCCGCCCCTACTAAAACAGCAGAGACGAGAACCCTTGCGCATGCGTTGAAAACATATAACCTGTGGGGAAAAGGGTATTTTAAACCTTATTTTGGGGTAAAGTCATCAAACTTATTTAGCGATTTTTATCATATTTTACTGCTGTTTCTATAAATGCAGTTTTTATGTCCCGGTGACCAGTAAACGTGCAGTTCTGACTCTCTGCCCATTCATTCAGATAGGAGCCTGGTCTTGTTAGTCCGAAATAGCTGCCCGGAGGCGTTGCCAAGACGGCGGCCGAGTGGCAGGACTTGCCTAAAAGGATTTTGATAGAACCAAGTCCCCGCTCTATTTTTTTTTCTTTTTCGATAACTTGAATGTATGTCAAAATACGCTATATAAGATCTGATGCTACTTTTATCGCTACTTTAACGTAAAGGGAGACAGCA